TGGTATTGGTCTACGCAGGTAAGAATTTTAAAGACGCTATGGAGATAAAACATTTGTATGGGTCTACAACTTTTATTGTTAACTGCGTTGTACATATGAGCATCCATATCAACACACAATGTCAACACACAATGGACAGATCTGTTGCTACTCACCCAGACATGCTAATGTGATGACGTAACAGCTGGTCTAATCCCTGGTCAGTACAACACTCCACCAGGTGGAACCCTAGCAGGTCAAGGCCATTTAACACTGGTCAGACGCGGAGGTACGTGCAGTCAACTGCCCAGCTAGCAGTGAGTAAGTCACGTAATTTTAGGGAGACGGTGAGTAGTTACCACGTGATGTAGAGTAGATGATTTACATAAGCACGTGTTGCACTGTTGCACAGGTGTACTCATATACTTGCATGGTGACAAGTCAACTGGCTGGTTATTCTTACATATTCTTATATATATATATATATATATATATATATATATATATATATATATATATATATATAAAATTATATATATACATATATATATATATATATATATATATATATATATATATATATATATATATATATATATATATATATATATATATATATATATATATATATATATATATATATATATTTATATATATATGCCTATATATATGCCTATATATATGCCTATATATATATAGGCATATATATATATATATATATATATATATATATATATATATACATATACATATTCATATATATGTGTGTGTGTTTGTGTGTGTCGTAATTATGTACATTTAATCTCACTTAAATAAGACTATATAATGTAGAGATAAAAAATTAGTTTCTACATAATCTACACCCAATGAAGTTTAAACAAAAATTCTGCGATCTGAGCAAAATCAGATGCACTGCTAATCGAAATGAACGTGGCAATTTTTGTGGAAAGGATTACAAATAATAGAGTATAAGCCGATAACTTGGTGTAAATGACAAACAGTTCAGCGTACATTATCCACTAAATGTTCATGCTAGGATAGTTGCACGCTATAACAGAGGCTACAAACACTTTTTATAACGTTTGAAAGATCTACAACACATTTTTGTTTCCAATACAAACTTCAACAATAATAGAAACAGCTTATTAGTAAAACATTATTTTTATTTTTCTAATTACATACTTTCATACATCTTCCCTTCATGTGTTACATATTGAGCATGATCCAAATAAACGCCTACCATTTTAAATGCAATATAAGAATTGAATAGAGTACAGATTAAACCATGAGCTGGCTCAATCCAATGTGTATACTGTACTTCCTACTTCCCATAAAGTTACTCACCTGAATTACCGCAGAAAAAAAAAATTGTTTCCGGATGTCTTCAATGTTCACACGGAAATATCAGCTTTCATGTGCTTATTGCATCAAACTTTCCTAGAATAGGGACATACACTAAAATATCAGCTTTCATGTGCTTATTGCATCAAACTTTCCTAGAACAGAGAGAAACATACACAGAACAATTTACAGAAGATTCTAGAATAAGCGCACCATGCACAGTAACAATTTAAACTGGCATAGTGTACAACCGAGCTTTAATTAGAGATGTGTCGTAGGGAGGGGAGTGGGGGGCAGTGATGACCAATCGTTAATCAATAACTAATATCCTAGGGTCAAGGCCAGTTCATACCCCCGATGCCTGTGACCCGCTGCACTTTACACTCATTGACTTCCGGTATCGACCGGAAAGGGAAGTGACTGGACGGTCCACTACAGAAGCCGTTTAAATTATGAACTACGGGTTGCCTTCTTAGCTAATTACAAGTCGGCCAATCTAATTAATTGCTCGGCAGAGAGTTCTATTTTTACCTGACTGCTCAACACTTCTACACGCTGGACAGTAGTGTACACTACACACTTGACAATAGTGGACACTACACACTAGACAATAGTGGACACTACACACTAGACAATAGTGGACACTACACACTAGACAATAGTAGACACTACACACTAGACAATAGTGAACACAACACACTAGACAATAAGGGACACAACACACTGGACAATAAGGGACACTACACACTAGACAACAGTGGACACTACACACTAGACAATTGTGGACACTAGACAATAGTAGACACTACACACTAGACAATAGTGGACACTACACACTAGACAATAGTGGACACTAGACAATAGTGGACACTACACACTGGACAATAGTGGACACTACACACTAGACAATAGTGGACACTAGACAATAGTGGACACTGCACACTAGACAATAGTGGACACTACACACTAGACAATAGTGGACACTACACACTGGACACTTCTACACGCTGGATAGAATTGGACTTTATATGTGTATAGCAAAGTCGACTGAATTCATCACGATTAGGCGCAATAATAATTGATTATTGTATGACATTTTTTAAACTCTAACCCTCTCCACCCCTTAACCCCCCCCCCCCCCTACTTTTTCCCCTTCCCCTCCCCCCCCCCCCCCCCCCCCTAGCCGGAACGCTTTGTCTACCGCTAACAAGGCAACAAGAAATGAAATCACAAAGGGGCATAACTGCTGAATATACTTTATAAACCGTATTAAAGAGTTATGACCCCTAGACCGAAAAAAATACAGCGCATAATATTTTGTCTGTCAACGACTTGAAGTAAGCAACAGGATAAGTTGGTGTTACTTTCTCCAAAAAACAATGATTTAAAACACGTTATACCTGTGTCATGTTTAGTGAGATGTCAATGTGAGGTTTTACCTCACCATATCACAGTTTTAACATGATGAGATTATAGTCTTTGCTTAACTGTTCACCTCGAACTCATTCGAAACTCAACACGTCTTTTGATTACCCTTGAGTTAAAAAAATGTATTTAATTCTTGATGATCTAACATCCAAACATCACCCACACAATTTCTGCATCATCCCCATAATTTCTACGTCACCCACACAATTTCTACATCATCCACACAATTTCTACATCATCCACACAATTTCTACATCACCCACACAATTTCTACATCACCCACACAATTTCTACATCACCCACACAATTTCTACATCACCCACACAATTTCTACATCACCCACACAATTTCTACATCACCCACACAATTTCTACATCACCCACACAATTTCTACATCACCCACACAATTTCTACATCACCCACACAATTTCTACATCACCCACACAATTTCTACATCACCCACACAATTTCTACATTGTCCACACACTGTCTACGCTTCCCCCTCCCCCCCCCCCCCCCACACACAAACATATTCTAATAACTCAGTTCTCTTCTAAAGTATTTATATTTAAATCGATGTCTATCAACCTATTCTAATAACAGTTCTCTTCAACAATGTTAAATCGATGTCTATCAACCTATTCTAATAACTCAGTTCTCTTCAACAATGGTTATATTTAAATCGATGTCTATCAACCTATTCTAATAACTCAGTCCTCTTCAACAATGGTTATATTTAAATCGATGTCTGGCTCCTAACATAAGCTTGCAACAACTATACATATTTAATGTAGCGAAATTTAACACCATCAAAGTATTGCACAATCCTAATTGAACAAAACAAAAACATGATGTGGAGAAAAATATTTCATCTGAAACCAGAGCCCGGCTGGCCAGTCTGAGATCTATCCATTACACATGGGATTCTCCAATATATGGTGATTACATGGGATTCTCCAATATATGGTGATTACATGGGATTCTCCAATATATGGTGATTACATTGTTGGCTTTTTGCGCACAATAGAAATTAGAATGTTTTTCTCCTAGAGTTCTATTGTCTGTTATTGGCGCGAGCGGTAATTTGTCATAGAGTTGAAAGGGTGGGGGGGGGGGAGGGTAGTATTGTGTTCTCTCTATCACTCTCTCTAAGCATAAATATATATATATATATATATATATATATATATATATATATATATATATATATATATATATATATATATATATATATGTGTGTGTGTGTGTGTGTGTGCGTATGTTGTGTTTCTATTTGTCCCTGTAGTTAACATCCGCCTATTCTTTACACTATAACCGGCAATGAGTTTTATAAAGTAATCAGACGAGCAGAAAGTTCGCTCAGTAAATGGTTAAACATCTTGCACGTGTCACAATCTGTGTTATATGTGTGTTATTTGGGGCTTTAATCCGCGGACTACACGGGTCAATCCATCTGTTGACTGTTGCAGGGTCGACTGTGGCAGGCAACTGTCGAATGCTGCAGGGTTTATTATGGCAGGCAACTGCAGCATAAAATGACGTTACACCTAGAACCCACTACCCCCCCCCCTCCCCCCCTCCCCCAATTTTTTTTGACGCACCAATTTCTTTGTAAACTACGGACTGAACTCAGCCAACACTGAGTACCCTTTATTACTTTATATAACAACTTACAAAAACAGCTTTATAAACCGCTTATTTCAGATTCTAACTTATTTTTTAAATACAGAAGAGTGTCATTACCTTCTCAGACAACGTCCCCCCCCCCTTCACACACACCACCTATTTTAAGTTTGACGTCTTATACGGACGACCCCTTGGTAGTGGTACCTGTGACATTTTAATTCTGTTACTGAACTATTCTGAGATTTAAAAATACAGTACAAAAGAAGAAGCAACATTGAGTTTTCTAATGAATTGTATGGGGCGTGTACAACATACCCTCCATCCCTAACCCTCCATCTTCCCCCTCCCCCTCCCCCTCCGCCCGCAAGCAAATTCCACCTACACATTCCTTTCCGGGCGAAATTGAAAAAAAAATAGAATTCGTATAGAAAAATAGAAAATTTATTTATAACTAGTGTAAGCCCACCCACACCCATTCTTCCCCCCCCCCCCCCCCCCCAACCTCAGTTCTAAACTCTCCTTCCACTTTGGACGAAAAATGGCTGAAAGAAACCCAGGAACTAAGGCCTTGTTTTAACTTTCTCACACAAACAATGAGCACTAAACAAGCGACACGAACAAACAAAGAAGCTGGCTGTAATTTTTTCTACTTTATTGTTCCTGATCAAAACAAAACGAATCAATTGAATAGCATGCCAAATAACTCAAAGAATTCAAGTCTATAAAAACGTGTTTCAGGTTGAATTGATAAGCTGGAAATAGTTTTGAGCATTAAATCAGCTTTAAACTGACGAAAGCGGCTCAAAAACTTTTCTTCTCGCCCGTTAATGGCATTTGTTTTAAAAGTTCCGTTGATGGAGAAATTAACTGAGAGAAACAAACGTGTTAATTTTGTGGCAATTTATTCATTTATTTCTCTTTACATTTTAGCTTGTTCTAAGTTTACAAATGGTCTCTGATTTTCTGAATACGTCAACATAGCTTTAAATTTGTTATAAAATAAATAATCACTATAGAATTAGTGACGTCACTTCCGCCCCAAACACGAGCTGGTTATGTAAGAGACGAGCAGCTGCCGGAAGTTTATCTGCCGAGGGTGGCCTCACACCTGCAGTTGTTGCCCCAGATGGTGCACCTGGAGGAGAGGGGGAGACATGGTGTTAACATACAGGTGTGTCAGGATATTTATCATACAGGTGTGTCAAGATATTTAATTTACAGGTGTCTCAGGATCTTTAGCTTACGTGTGTGTCGGGATCTTTGACACTAGAGGTGTGTCAGGATCTTTAACTTAACACGTGTCAGGATTTTTTTCTTACAGGTGTGTCAGGATTTTTTTCTTACAGGTGTGTCAGGATTTTTTTCTTACAGGTGTGTCAGGATCTTTAACTTAACACGTGTCAGGATTTTTTTCTTACAGGTGTGTCAGGATCTTTAACTTACAGGTTTATCAAGATCTTTAACTAACAGGTGTGTCAGTATCTTTAACATACAGGTGTGTCCGGATCTTTAACATACATGTGTCAGGATCTTTAGCTTACAGGTGTGTCAGGATCTTTAACTTACAGATATGTCAGGATCTTTAGCTTACAGGTGTGTCAGGATCTTTAACTTACATGTGTGTCATGATCTTTAACTTACAAGTGTTAGGATCTTTAACACTTCAAGCATGTCAAGATCTTTAGCTTACAGGTGTGTCAGGATCTTTAACCGCATGTGTCCAAAGCACATAACTCTATTACTCTATGTCATAACCACGTGACCACGTGACATTATATATATATATATATATATATATATATATATATATATATATATATATATATATATATATATATATATATATATATATATATATATATATATATAAGCTCCTGATCACGTGACCAGCTGACCACAGTACCTGCATGAGACGTCATTGCAGCACTTCAAGAAAGGATATTTCTTCAACAGGGCGCTGTCTAGTGTGCAGGGGGCTCTGTAGGGCAGGCACAGGTTCCTTCCGGCCAACTCTGCTGCCGATCTGAAATGGACATTAGGACATGACGTCATGCTGGTCGTCTGGTTTAGTCAAGTAGGTCAATTGATTTAGTCAAGTAGGTCAATTGATTTAGTCATGTAGGTCGTCTAATTTAGTCAAGTAGGTCAATTGATTTAGTCATGTAGGTCGTCTAATTTAGTCAAGTAGGTCGATTGATTTAGTCATGTAGGTCAATTGATTTAGTCATGTAGGTAGTGTAATTTAGTCATGTAGGTAAATTGATTTAGTCATATAGGTCGACTGATTTAGTCATATAGGTCGATTGATTTAGTCATATAGGTCAATTGATTTAGTCTCGCAAGTCAATTGATTTAGTCAAGTAGGTCGACTGATTTAGTCATGTAGGTCGACTAATTTAGTCATGTAAGTCGTCTGATTTAGTCATTTGAACCGTTTATTTTAGTCATGTAGTAGTTTTATTTAGTACCGGTGGCCGTCTACTCGTATAGACGGCCCAGTAAGCACGCATCAACGGTATCGACCTACAAATTATTGGTCACGGATCAGCGAGCGATAGATTTTTAATTTCCGCTTTTCGAGTAAGGGATCGATCTGGTATCAAACGGCTGGCGATTGGTTATTGATGGCCAGAGTAGAAATCACTTAATTAAACTTAAATTTAGCGGCGTTCATTTAAAACTTGGGGAAAAGCTTTTAAAGTAACTAACGCGAAGTGTCAAAGTGGAGACAAATCTTTCTGGAATGGTCTAGTGTGGACGGTGGCTGTGGGGAGTGTTTTATTGTCACATTGTCACATTGTCACAGGCACTTTGTCAGAGGCACTATTTGTCACAGGCATTTTGTGTCAGGCACTTTGTGGTAGATAGTACACACGTATTTATGTTATTGTCGGTAGAAACAGTACAACGTAATAACAAGTACAATCACATAGAGGGCACATAACTACATCATAAAAGTACAATCACATAGAGAGCACATAACTACAGCACAAAAGTACAATCACATAGAGAGCACATAACTACAGCACTAAAGAACAATCACATAGATATCACATAACTACAGCACTAAAGAACAATCACATAGAGGACACATAACTACAGCACAAAAGTACAATCACATAAAGGCACATAAAGGCACATAACTACAGCACAAAGGTACAATCACATAGAGGGCACATAACTACAGCACTAAAGAACAATCACATAGATATCACATAACTACAGCACTAAAGAACAATCACATAGAGGACACATAACTACAGCACAAAAGTACAATCACATAAAGGCACATAAAGGCACATAACTACAGCACAAAGGTACAATCACATAGAGGGCATATAACTACAGCACAAAAGTACAATCACATAGAGGACACATAACTACAGCACAAAAGTACAATTACATAGAGTACAATCACATAGAGGGCACATAACTACAGCACAAAAGTACAATCACATAGAGGACACATAACTACAGCACAAAAGTACAATTACATAGAGTACAATCACATAGAGGGCACATAACTACAGCACAAAAGTACAATCACATAGAGGACACATAACTACAGCACAAAAGTACAATTACATAGAGTACAATCACATAGAGGGCACATAACTACAGCACAAAAGTACAATCACATAGAGAGCACATAACTACAGCACAAAAGTACAATCACATAGAGGACACATAACTACAGCACAAGAGTACAATTACATAGAGTACAATCACATAGAGGGCACATAACTACAGCACAAAAGTACAATCACATAGAGGGCACATAACTACAGCACAAAAGTACAATCACATAGAGGACACATAACTACAGCACAAAAGTACAATCACATAAAGGCACATAAAGGCACATAAAGGCACATAAAGGCACATAAAGGCACATAAAGGCACATAAAGGCACATAAAGGCACATAACTACAGCACAAAGGTACAATCACATAGAGGGCATATAACTACAGCACAAAAGTACAATCACATAGAGGACACATAACTACAGCACAAAAGTACAATTACATAGAGTACAATCACATAGAGGGCACATAACTACAGCACAAAAGTACAATCACATAGAGAGCACATAACTACAGCACAAAAGTACAATCACATAGAGGACACATAACTACAGCACAAAAGTACAATTACATAGAGTACAATCACATAGAGGGCACATAACTACAGCACAAAAGTACAATCACATAGAGAGCACATAACTACAGCACAAAAGTACAATCACATAGAGGACACATAACTACAGCACAAAAGTACAATTACATAGAGTACAATCACATAGAGGGCACATAACTACAGCACAAAAGTACAATCACATAGAGGGCACATAACTACAGCACAAAAGTACAATCACATAGAGGGCACATAACTACATCATAAAAGTACAATCACATAGCGGGCATATAACTACAGCACTAAAGTACAATCACATAGCGGGCATATAACTACAGCACAAAAGTACAATCACATAGAGGGCATATAGCTGCAGCACAAAAGTACAATCACATACAGTACAATCACATAGAGGGCATATAGCTGCAGCACTAAAGTACAATCACATAGAGGGCAAATCTACAGTGATATTTACAGTACCAAAACCTCTGCAGACTTTGAGGTTGTGGATGTCGTGAATCAACAAAACATTGAAGTTAACACAGGTAGCAAAACACAAGTAGTTAATTACGTATAGCAGCTAAACACACAGGTAGCAAAACACATGTAGTAATTTAGCAAAAACTAACTAGTGTAGATGTAGCTGAGTGCTTTAAACAATGAAGCATAAACTAACTAGTGTAGGCTCATGTCAAGTTCTAAATCTAACGGCAGCTTGGGGTGATGGGAGATGGGGGAGATGGGGGAGATGATGGATGGTGACAGAACAATGACACATTGCTCTTGCTTCTAGAACTTCCCCCCTCCCTACACGAACCTGACATCAAAGATTTCATCTATTCATATTTAGATGGAATAAAATAGCAATACAATCACGAACTAAAAACATGAATACCAACACGAAGTGATGAACACCAGTACAAATATGAAACCCGAATCAAAGGAGAGGCTAATACATAGACAAAGCAGTGCCTCTCATTACTTATGCTGCAAGCTAATGACGCGCTGTCAATAATTCATAGAGAAACCTGAGATTGATACAAAACATTTTCTCACTAATGCTCTACCACGCAAAAACAAATCCGTAAGGTCTTTGACTCTGTCTTAGGGGAGGCTTATTCACGTAGGTTCGTTAGCAGTATAAAAAAACAAATACCCACGTCATGCTATGGGTGTGATAGTGGGTGAACTACGTCACATATGCCCGTGGGTTGATTTAAATTTGTGCACTGGCCGCGGGGTGTTGGGGGAGAAGACTTAGACGTCTGTCTAACATAATGTGGGGCTATGATATGTTCGATTTCTGTTACGTCCGCGACTATTCTGTGGCTGTATGCCTGTGGACAACTTGTCACTGTGGACGAGTCCACGAGGGCATGTCTGGTGTAAATGTCTTTGACAAAATGTCGCCTTGCAAGCACTCACTGCTTCACACAGCACTTAGAGGTCCCCCCCGGGACATGTGAGTGTTAGTGGAACTGTCAAGATAGTCTCAGAGTTTCAGAATCAGGTCCTAGATAGTCTCAGAGTTTTTTGTTTTTTTTTGGGGGGGGGGGGAGGAAGGGGAGTAGAGGGGGGGGGGGAGAGACGAAATGCCGGGCTAATCGAAGACTCCGGATAAGTTTCTGCTGCTCAAGTCATATTCGTGGGTAAAATGTCGGCCAAAAGTAGATAAAATGTCGGCCAAACGTGGATAAAATGTCAGCTAAACGTGGGTAAAATGTCGGCCAAAAGTGGATAAAATGTCGGCCAAAAGTAGATAAAAAGTAGGCCAAACGTGAATAAAATGTCAGCTAAACGTGGGTACAATGTCGACCTAAAGTGGATGAAATGGTTATTAAAAGTTTCTTTTATTTAGACCGAAGTCAGAAACATCAAGTGCACATTCTCAATAATCAATACATAATCAACTGAGTACACACATTAGAGCAACTGCCAACTCTTTCACGCACTGAGTGATGTCAATATTTAATTTAATTAACATAAACCAACACTAAAGTGTGTCAGGAAAAATTAACATGGGACGGTCAATATAAAGGTGTGTCGGTCAATATAAAGGTGTGTCGTTTAGCATTAAGGTATGTTTACCATGTATACAATTGTACCTGTAATGTTTTTACTTGCTTTGATTTAATGTCGCGGCTATAGAATAACTAGCCGTCGGTACCCGTTACACGTGAATTACAGGCCTTTAAACTTTTTTGTTATACGTATTTGGGAAAAAAAAATATTTATAAAATAGATATTGGTCAAAACGCTATGTGCTTTACTACACGTTGAACGATCTAGTGACAAAGCAAAGAAAGAACTAAACAGCTAAAACACAACACCATATTAAAAGCACACACTGATCAAGATACTTATTATTTCAATGGTATTTATGTTGTTTTTAAAAGTAATTTGTATTACTTTTGGCTCAGAAAATTTTATACATTTCATAGAGTACGTCTTGATAAGTAGATCTATAGATCTAAATCAAATTTAAATAAAATATAGTTCCTTTCTTTATATTCTAAAATTGGAAGATGACGCCATTAGTTTTGTGTTCTTTCCTTAGTTTAAACATGTGGCACGTGACGTCATTGTTTATTGCGTTCTTTTCACAACAATAAAAACTTTTCCGGTTGCATAATTAAAATTGTGTTTCTACATTCGAATGTATCTTTATTTTTATTTTCTTTCTTTAAATAAAATTTAGTTTATACATTTATAACATCTAACATATTATTTTCAACAAAAGTCCTTAAAGTTCTCCATATATCGCTGAACATACTGATCACATCGCCTAAAAAAAAACAACTTGCGGACAGAAAGAGAGAGAGAAGTGCGCACATGGGCTTTTATATATTAGGATGTCCGATTAATGTAGACGCACGATACGCGTTCAATTCACACAATGCTCAACAATCATCCCCAAATCATTCATGACAATCATCCCCCAATCATTCATGATTGATAGACGTTCACTTTAATCCTGTTTAATGTGGGTGTTTTGAAACTCAGATCATGTAGCTAATTTATGCGGAGGTGGTCACGTGATGTTGATGTAGCTAGTTCCTGGTGATGATATCACGTGATGTTGATGTAGCTCGATCACGTGGATGCTACCCATGATGTTGATGCAGCTGAAGCCGGCTGATATCGTCACCTGCTGTTGATGTCGCCTGTTCCTGTCAATGCTGATGAAGCTATTTCCTGTTGCCCCACGTTGCTGGTGTGGACAGGATTCGATCTCCAGCTGTGATTTGGCCGCCGCGGGTAATCGGTGATAGCTTTGCCCTACCTTTCGTTACGTATGCGAGACAAAAATATCACCGCTTGCACGCGGTGCTCTACGTCATCAACCTGTGGGTACTTGAGTGACGTCATCAATCAATGTGCACTTGGGTGACGTCGTTAATCTGTGTATTTTGGGTGACGGATGAGCTCATGCCACCCCCTTTAGGGCATCATGCCACCCCCTCTAGGGCATCATGCCACCCCCTCTAGGGCATCATGCCACCCCCTCTAGGGCATCGTGCCACCACCTTTAGGGCATCGTGCCACCACCTCCAGCGTAGAAACGAATGCACCAATACACAGTAGCTTACATACGAAGATGGTTTAGCGGTTACATAACAAAAAACATAAACAGCAAACAAACTTCTTTCTACAACAATCAACAACCTCTGCTGTTAGATACATACAAAGGTTTTTTTTAGATACATAAACAAACTGTGTTCTCGTTACATACAACATAGACTGTTCTGTTAGCCACATAGACTGGTCTGTTAGCCACATACAACATGCACGGGTCTGTTAGCCACATACAACATACACGGGTCTGTTAGCCACATACAACATACACTGGTCTGTTAACCACATACAACATAGACTGGTCTGTTAGCCACATACAACATACACTGGTCTGTTAGCCACATAGACGGGTCTGTTAGCCACATACAACATAGACTGGTCTGTTAGCCACATACAACATACACTGGTCTGTTAGCCACATATAACATAGACTGATCTGTTAGCCACATACAACATAGACTGGTCTGTTAGCCACATACAACATAGACTGGTCTGTTAGCCACATACAACATAGACTGGTCTGTTAGCCACATACAACATAGACTGGTCTGTTAGCCACATACAACATAGACTGGTCTGTTAGCCACATACAACATAGACTGGCCTGTTAGCCACATACAACATAGACTGGTCTGTTAGCCACATACAACATAGACTGGTCTGTTAGCCACATACAACATAGACTGGTCTGTTAGCCACATACAACATAGACTGGTCTGTTAGCCACATACAACATAGACTGGTCTGTTAGCCACATACAACATAGACTGGTCTATAACCACATAGACTGGTCTGTTAGCCACATACAACATAGACTGGTCTGTTAGCCACATACAACATAGACTGGTCTGTTAGCCACATACAACATAGACTGGTCTGTTAGCCACATACAACATAGACTGGTCTGTTAGCCACATACAACATAGACTGGTCTGTTAGCCACATACAACATAGACTGGTCTGTTAGCCACATACAACATAGACTGGTCTATAACCACATAGACTGGTCTGTTAGCCACATACAACATAGACTGGTCTGTTAGCCACATACAACATACACTGGTCTGTTAGCCACATATAACATAGACTGATCTGTTAGCCACATACAACATAGACTGGTCTGTTAGCCACATACAACATAGACTGGTCTGTTAGCCACATACAACATAGACTGGTCTGTTAGCCACATACAACATAGACTGGTCTGTTAGCCAAATACAACATAGACTGGTCTGTTAGCCACATACAACATAGACTGGCCTGTTAGCCACATACAACATAGACTGGTCTGTTAGCCACATACAACATAGACTGGTCTGTTAGCCACATACAACATAGACTGGTCTGTTAGCCACATACAACATAGACTGGTCTGTTAGCCACATACAACATAGACTGGTCTGTTAGCCACATACAACATAGACTGGTCTATAACCACATAGACTGGTCTGTTAGCCACATACAACATAGACTGGTCTGTTAGCCACATACAACATAGACTGGTCTGTTAGCCACATACAACATAGACTGGTCTGTTAGCCACATACAACATAGACTGGTCTGTTAGCCACATACAACATAGACTGGTCTGTTAGCCACATACAACATAGACTGGTCTGTTAGCCACATACAACATAGACTGGTCTATAACCACATAGACTGGTCTGTTAGCCACATACAACATAGACTGGTCTGTTAGCCACATACAACATAGACTGGTCTATAACCACATAGACTGGTCTGTTAGCCACATACAACATAGACTGGTCTGTTAGCCACATACAACATAGACTGGTCTGTTAGCCACATACAACATAGACTGGCCTGTTAGCCACATACAACATAGACTGGCCTGTTAGCCACATACAACATAGACTGGCCTGTTAGCCACATACAACATAGACTGGTCTGTTAGCCACATACAACATAGACTGGTCTGTTAGCCACATACAACATCGACTGGCCTGTTAGCCACATACAACATAGACTGGTCTGTTAGCCACATACAACATAGACTGGTCTGTTAGCCACATACAACATAGACTGGTCTATAACCACATAGACTGGTCTGTTAGCCACATACAACATAGACTGGTCTGTTAGCCACATACAACATAGACTGGTCTGTTAGCCACATACAACATAGACTGGCCTGTTAGCCACATACAACATAGACTGGTCTGTTAGCCACATACAACATAGACTGGCCTGTTAGCCACATACAACATAGACTGGTCTGTTAGCCACATACAACATAGACTGGTCTGTTAGCCACATACAACATCGACTGGCCTGTTAGCCACATACAACATAGACTGGCCTGTTAGCCACATACAACCGACCTTTTGTTAGGAAAGTATGTCTCGATGTCGTCGTCATCATCATCGCTGTAACCGTTGAAGTTGCTGGCGTCTGGTGGAAGACAAGAAAAGTTTTTTATAAACATCTGGCAAGACGGACATCAAAAACATCTGGCAAGTCGGACATCAAAAACATCTGGCAAGACGGACATCAAAAACATCTGGCAAGACGGACGTCAAAAACATCTGGCAAGACGGACATCAAAAACATCTGGCAAGACGGACATCAAAAACATCTGGCAAGACGGACATCAAAAACATCTGGCAAGACGGACATCAAAAACATCTGGCAAGACGGACATCAAAAACATCTGGCAAGACGGACATCAAAAACATCTGGCAAGACGGACATCAAAAACATCTGGCAAGACGGACATCAAAAACATCTGGCAAGACGGGCATCAAAAACATCTGGCAAGACGGACGTCAAAAACATCTGGCAAGACGGACATCAAAAACATCTGGCAAGACGGACGTCAAAAACATCTGGCAAGACGGACATCAAAAACATCTGGCAAGACGGACATCAAAAACATCTGGCAAGACGGACGTCAAAAACATCTGGCAAGACGGACATCAAAAACATCTGGCAAAAAGGACATCAAAAACATCTGGCAAGACGGACATCAAAAACATCTGGCAAGACGGACATCAAAAACATCTGGCAAGACGGACATCAAATACATCTGGCAAGACGGACATCAAAAACATCTGGCAAGACGGACATCAAAAACATCTGGCAAGACGGACATCAAAAACATCTGGCAAGACGGACATCAAAAACATCTGGCAAGACGGACATCAAAAACATCTGGCAAGACGGACATCAAAAACATCTGGCAAGACGGACATCAAAAACATCTGGCAAGACGGACATCAAAAACATCTGGCAAGACGGACATCAAAAACATCTGGCAAGACGGACATCAAAAACATCTGGCAAGACGGACATCAAAAACATCTGGCAAGACGGACATCAAAAACATCTGGCAAGACGGACATCAAAAACATCTGGCAAGACGGACATCAAAAACATCTGGCAAGACGGACATCAAAAACATCTGGCAAGACGGACATCAAAAACATCTGGCAAGACGGACATCAAAAACATCTGGCAAGACGGACATCAAAAACATCTGGCAAAAAGGACATCAAAAACATCTGGCAAGACGGACATCAAAAACATCTGGCAAGACGGACATCAAAAACATCTGGCAAGACGGACATCAAAAACATCTGGCAAAAAGGACATCAAAAACATCTGGCAAGACGGACATCAAAAACATCTGGCAAGACGGACATCAAAAACATCTGGCAAAAAGGACATCAAAAACATCTGGCAAGACGGACATCAAAAACATCTGGCAAGACGGACGTCAAAAACATCTGGCAAGACGGACATCAAAAACATCTGGCAAAAAGGACATCAAAAACATCTGGCAAGACGGACATCAAAAACATCTGGCAAGACGGACATCAAATACATCTGGCAAGACGGACATCAAATACATCTGGCAAGACGGACATCAAATACATCTGGCAAGACGGACATCAAAAACATCTGGCAAGACGGACATCAAAAACATCTGGCAAGACGGACATCAAAAACATCTGGCAAGACGGACATCAAAAACATCTGGCAAGACGGACATCAAAAACATCTGGCAAGACGGACATCAAAAACATCTGGCAAGACGGACATCAAATACATCTGGCAAGACGGACATCAAATACATCTGGCAAGACGGACATCAAAAACATCTGGCAAGACGGACATCAAAAACATCTGGCAAGACGGACATCAAAAACATCTGGCAAGACGGACATCAAAAACATCTGGCAAGACGGACATCAAAAACATCTGGCAAGACGGACATCAAATACATCTGGCAAGACGGACATCAAAAACATCTGGCAAGACGGACATCAAAAACATCTGGCAAGACGGACATCAAAAACATCTGGCAAGACGGACATCAAATACATCTGGCAAGACGGACGTCAAAAACATCTGGCAAGTCGGACATCAAAAACATCTGGCAAGACGGAGATCAAAAACATCTGGCAAGACGGACATCAAATATTGGGGGGGGGGGAAGAGTTTTAAATGAACATAATGTGTTGACTAGGAATTACCTAATTAGTTGTGTGGTCACACCGTGGTATTACACCGACAGTGTGAGTTTGTGACACTATGGCAGAGGCGTAGCGAGGGGGGGGGGGCGGGAGGACATATGTCTCCGGGCGCCGACCTTAGGGGGCGCCAAAATGGGTTGGAAAAATATATAGAAAGCTTGAGGGGGTTGCAAATCGAAATCCTGGATGGGTGCAAATCGAAAGTTTGTCCCCGGGCGCCGGGAAGGGTCGCTACGCCTCTGCACTTTGGTGTGTGACATCACCATGTTGTGACATTTTGATGTGATATTATGGATGTGATATAACGATATTGAGAAACTACGCTTTTCTGTAGTTAGGAAAAAAATCTAACATTTGTATAAACTGCATGTCTCGCAAATTTGGCAAACAATTCTCTATTAATGGGATTCTTGCGTTTCTTTAGCTATGAGTTTACAAATCATTTTTTAACACTCATCCATATACATAGCCGATAATGCTCATGTTGTTTCTATAGCCGGTTAACAAATAATTCTTAAGTGCACGGAATTGCATTGAAGCACAACTTAACGAAATGTATTCGCTGGAAAAAGGTCTTAAATAGATTAACATCTTGTCACTGCAAATATTTGATCGATGAAACTGATCTTAATCATCAAGATCGTCTCATCCTGGTGTTTCTTTATGAGCACACAGAAATCTCCGGGGTAAAAACAATATAGGCCTACTTCAGAACTCAATTGAATGTTTCTAGAGAAAAAATATATCAGCACTAATGTTGTAGGCGCTACCGATATGTGAGCTCAGATAGGACGTGACAGGACCCCCCTCCCACACACACACACACACACACACACACACAGGACGTCTGACAGGACCCCCCCTCCCACACAAACACACACACACACAGAACGTCAGACAGGACCCCCCTCCCCCCCCCCCCACACACATAAACAGGACGTTGACAACGACTCTCATGCAAGACGTCTGATAATGACCATCATACAAGATCAGTTTTGCTGTTAGGGTGTTTAAGAAACGATTAGACAGAGCCAACATTTTGTGCAAGTGACTGGAAATATTCCCTTGGAAGATTCTAGCTAGCCAAAAGCTCGCTTCTTGCTGCACTGTCGTGGTCAGACCTGTTATACTCTGGTCAGTGGGAGCAAAACGACAGGGTCGCCAGATATCAGGTACATATACAAGATTTCCCTGTTGCTTTACATGAATATCTGTCCACTGACACGATGCTAATGTTGGCACCATGGGGAGAATACCACTGCTGTTGGGGAGAATACGACGGGTGTTGGGGAGAATACCACTGCTGTTGGGGAGAATACCACTGCTGTTGGGGAGAATACGACGGGTGTTGGGGAGAATACCACTGCTGTTGGGGAGAATACGACGGGTGTTGGGGAGAATACCACTGCTGTTGGGGAGAATACGACGGGTGTTGGGGAGAATACCACTGCTGTTGGGGAGAATACGACGGGTGTTGGGGAGAATACCACTGCTGTTGGGGAGAATACGACGGGTGTTGGGGAGAATACCACTGCTGTTGGGGAGAATACGACGGGTGTTGGGGAGAATACCACTGCTGTTGGGGAGAATACAACGGGTGTTGGGGAGAATACCACTGCTGTTGGGGAGAATACGACGGGTGTTGGGGAGAATACAACGGGTGTTGGGGAGAATACGACGGGTGTTGGGGAGAATACGACGGGTGTTGGGGAGAATACGACGGGTGTTGGGGAGAATACAACGGGTGTTGGGGAGAATACGACGGGTGTTGGGGAGAATACGACGGGTGTTGGGGAGAATACGACGGGTGTTGGGGAGAATACAACGGGTGTTGGGGAGAATACAACGGGTGTTAACTGCTTTTAAAAGAGTGAGAATGTAACCGAGCATACATGACCGGTGGAGTGGGAAAATGTAACGAGGTGTTTTACGGCTGATCCAGCCTATATCAATGAGGTGATGCTAGATCAAAACGTAATGGCTAGAACATACATCATAGATCTTAAACCACAGGCGCATGCGCTAAAGCGATGTAGGGAAAATACCACTTATGGTGAGGTGGAGAGGGGGGGGGGGGCTAGCAATGTTATGGTGTAGGGTTGAGGCTGAGAAGGAGGAGCGAGTGAGTAAATAACAGCTTAGTGCCGGCATAAATGTGGGATTTACGATGCTAAGTACATGACTTAAGTCATGTACGCTTGCACAAATTGTATACTGTCAGGTTCATAAATTCTGTACACAGACCTTTAAATAGCTTGTACACAGAGTTTTGTACAGCTTATACACAGACCTCTGTACACCTTGTACACAGACCTTTGTACACCTTGTACACAGACCTTTGTACAGCTTGTACACAGACTTTCATCTTGTACACAGACCTTTGTAAACCTTGTACACAGACCTCTGTACACCTTGTACACAGACCTTTGTACAGCTTGTACACAGACCTCTGTACAGCTTATACACAGACCTTTGTACAACTTGTACACACATCTTTGTAAACCTTGTACACAGACCTTTGTACAGCTTGTACACAGACTTTCATCTTGTACACAGACCTTTGTACACCTTGTACAGATTAAAGTCCACCCACGCTCAGAGTGTGAAGGGTGAGTCTCTGTGGTTTGGAGTGCTGGGACACAAAACACTAGGGACTAGACTAGGGACTCGATTAGAAAGTCGAGTGGTTTATTTAGACGTTTAATCATGGCGGACGTAGGAAACCGGAAGTCGAGTACCACGATGGAGGAAGACGATAGACAAACTTTATAACAGAATAGTATCGACATGAAGTCAAATAAAGTTTATCATGTCGCAGAATACTGCCTCTACATCTCGCTCTACATGTGGCTCTACATCTGGCTATACATCTGGCTCTACATCTACATCTGGCTCTACATCTGGCTCTACATCTGG